AATCAATATTTTCATTTACTTTTGTATTATAGAATTATTGTTTCATAATACAAGCTACAGAAAACAAAACTATGAAATCTTGTTGGGGAAGAGGGAGTAAAAAGTTCAGAAACACTGTTCTGTGAAGACCAAAAGCATTGAAAAAACTTCAGCTTTTATTTAAATAAAATTTCATTCTTAAAGCATAGACTAAAAAAAAAAATTGAGTGACTATGGGTGTGGTGAAAGAAGCCAGCTTGACTTTGGAGAAATTGCCATCAGTATTCCCAGTGAGGTGTGAGCATTTTCCATGCATTTTAATCAATCCTTCTGTAACTTTAATGTTCCTACAAATCATCTGGAAATGTTGTTAAAATGCAGATTCTGACTCAGCAATTCTGGAGTGGGGCCTGAGATTCTACATTTCTAGCAAGGTCCCAGGTGATGCACTGTTATTACCCTGGGAACATAATTTGAATCGCACTGTTTTAAATCTCTTCCATCAGTGATATATGAGAGTATATCAACGACAGTTGGCTACAGGGGATCTTTGGTCAGTGACTTCAGCAACTTGGAAGTGGAAGAGATGAACTGCTGGCTTGTTTGAGGGGTGAAACAATTTTGCTCATTCAGAAATTTGAGGAGTTGTGGAGTAGGAAGGAGATTGTTAAAATTGGATGCGTTGATCACAACGAGCTTTATGTGCCACTAGCACCAGGTTGTTCAAGACTGAAGGAGGTAAGGACTTTTGAAGTGGTACTCAGGTTCCTGCTGCTTAACTGAAAGTGCGATAAGATCAGATTCGTTAGGAAATCATTTTCAAAACAGACTCATTTATTTTGACTAAATGAGGCTGAATGATAGTAGGGAGATAGATTCATTGTATCTTTTAGAAACCCACTGTTTGAGAAAGTGGAAAACTGGTTGCCTATGATTTTGTTTGCATCGTTGCTGAAATTTTAAATAACGCATTTCCACAACACCTTTAATGATACTGAATTATTGCTATTAATCTCTTCCCATAGGGAAAATGGAACTAAAGGCCTATGCTATTTCCCTGCTCCTACCTCCATTTTGCTGTGTGACTTTTTTTTTTCTTTTCTTTTTTCGGCACCTTGTGGGTCTTAGTTCCCTGACCAGGGATTGAACCCGGGCCCTGGCAGTGAAAGCACCGAGTCCTAACCACTGGACTGCCAGGGAATTCTCTGCTGTGCGACTTTAAGAAAACCACTTAAACCCTTATGTTTGGAGTCCTCATGGTGAAAAATGGAAATCAAAGCTCTTGCTTGTTCCCTGTAGCGTACTTACTGAAATCAGTGAGGTACATTTCAATTGCTTAAAAAAACAAAAGACTTTACAATGTAATATTTTATATTTATTTAGCATATTATATATGCTAAAAAGTATACTATATGCATATATCAAGCTATTTCATATATGATCTAAATATTCTGGCAAACCTTTATAACAAAAATGAAACATTTCCTGTAATTGCACCAGCAAATTAAATTGACCCTTTTTTGGGTTTCACAAATCAAATGAACGTGATTAGAGTGTTTTAGACCTAATTTTTTCATCCTTTAGGTAATAGTACTGATGGATAGTGATTAAAAATATAGTAATTTAATCCACATAAAGACTTTTAGTTCTATAGGGGATTAATGGTAAGTGAGGTCAGTTACTCAAGCTTGACCCTGTTTGAGATACTTTAGGTTCTTTTAGGTTTAAACACATTTAATTTTACCAGACTTTAGCATGTATTTTTTTTTCTTTTTTTAAAAAATTTTTTGGCTGCACCATGCTGCATATGGGATCTTAGTTCCCCAGCCAGGGATGGAACCTGCGCCCCCTGTATTGGAAGCGTGGAGTCTTAACCACTGGACTGCCAGGGAAGCCCCAGCATGTATTCTAATCAAAGATATATTTTGACCCAAACTTGTGCCAAAGAATAGCAATCAGAAAATGTCTGAAATAAAACTCTGTGAAGATTCAGATTCATAATTTGAAGTAATTCAGCATAAAGTTTACCATACTTTTCTAGGAAGCAAAGGTTTGTTAGGCAAGTTAAGTAGCAGTACCATAGATACTAAAATATAATAAATAATCTATATCCATTACAGTGTGGGGATCAAAAGCCAGGGCTCTAGAGTCAAAGACGCCTGATTTAAATCCCACCTTTGATGCTTGATTTGTAGTGTGGCTTTGGTTACTTAACTTCTCAAAGTCTCAGTTTCCTCATCTATAAAATCAATTTCACAATATAAAGTTCGTAAGATTACTGTGGGGCCCAAAAGAGCTAATGCAAGTGCTGTGGGCTGAATTGTGTCCTTGTCAAATTCATGTATTGAAGCCCTGACTCCCGATGGGGATGTACTTGGAAATAGGGCCTTTAAGAGGTAATTTAGGTTAAATGAGATCATAAGGGTGGGTCCCTAATCCAATAGCGTTCTGGCCTTATGAGAAGAGAGAGAGCACCCTCTCTCAATGAATGCACACAAAGAAAAGGTCATGTGAGCACACAGCAAGAAGGTGGCTGTCTACAAGTCAAGAGAAGAGGCCTTGGAATGAAACCTATGTTGCTAGCACCTTGATCTTGGACTTCCAGCTCCAGAACTGTGAGAAAATAAATTTGTTTAAGCCGCCCAGCCTATGGTATTTTGTTATGGCAGCCTGAGCAGACTAGTACAAATTTTGGTACTGAGAAGTACAGTGCTGCTGTAACAAACACCTAAAAATGTGAAAGTGGCTTTGGAACTGGGTCATGGGTAGAGGCTAGAGGTGTTTGGAGATGCATGCTAGAAAAAGCCTACCAATACTGTGAACACAGTATTGGTAGAATGATGGATGTTAAAGGTCATTCTGATGAGGTCTCAGATGGAAATTAGGAACGTGTTGTTGGAAACTAAAGAAAAAGCCATCCTTAATTATAAATGGCAAAGAACTTGGCTGAACTGTGTTCTAGTATTCTGTGGAAGGTAGAACTTGCAAAGTGGATATTTAGCTGGAGAGATTTCTAAGCAAGGTGTTGAAGGAATAGCTTGGTTCCTCCTGACTACTTATAATAAAATGCAAAAGGAGAGACATGAATTGAAGAAGGAATTGTTAAGCAAAAAGAAACCAGAATACAAAAATTTGGAAAATTCTCAGCCTACTCATATGGCAAAAAATAAGGAAGCTTGGTCTGGAGAGAATACCAAGGGAATGGCTGGATAATCACTCCTTAAGGAGATTGCCCATGATGTTAACTAGTCATCTCAACAGAAGCCAGGAATAGAATTTGGACCAAAGCATCAGAGACACTGTCAGTTTGGACCAAAGGGAATAGGGCAGGACAATAGTGCAGTTTGGCTGCAAACATGCTTTATCTTTCAAGAAAATGGAAGAATGATCCTGAAGTTGTTTCAGAGATCATCAGGGTTACCACTCCCACCACAGGCCGAGAGTGCCTAAGCCCAGGTGGGCAAGGCTGCTTCCACCTAGATTTCAAAGGTGGGATCAGCTGCCCAACAGAGCCAAGTGGGTGGGGCTGCCCATGCAGAGCCATGGGGGTGACAGTGCCACCCAGTGGGCCTGGAGGGCAGAGCGTCAATCCAAAAAGGATTATTCTCAAGCATTAAGATCTAATGGAATTTGCCTTATGAGATTTCGGACATTTTTGGGACCTGTCACCCCTTTTCCCCTTCCGATATCTCCCTTTTGGAATGGGAATATCTGTCCTATGCTTGTCTTCCTGTATTTTGGAAGCACATGACTTGTCTGGTTTCACAGGTTCACAGCTGGAGAAGAATTTTGCCTCAGCAGCAGTCATATCCCCAAGTCTCACCTGTATCTCATTAGATGATATTTAGAAGAGACTTTGGACTTTATTTAGACCTCAGAGTTGATGCTGGAATGTGTTTAAGACTTTTAAGGCTGTTGGGATGGAATGAATGTATTTTGTATGTGAATTTGGAGGTACCAGTGTTGGAATGCTATGGACTGAATCATGTTCCCTCTCCCCCCATATTCATATGTTGAAGCTCAACCCCCGATGTGGCTGTATTTGGAGATAGGCCTTTAGGATGTAATTAAGGTTAAACAAGGTTGTAAGGATGGGGCCCCAATCCAATAGGACTGGTGGACTTATAAGAAGAGAGATCTCTCTCTTCACACACACACACACACACATACAAAGAAAAGGTCATGTGAACACAGCTAAAAGGTGGCTGCCTACAAGCCAAGAGTAGAGGCCTCAGAATAAAACCTATGTTACTGTCACCTTGATCTTAGATTTCCAGACTCCAGGGCTGTGAGAAAATAAATTTCTTTTGTTTAAGCCACACAGACTGGTATTTTGCTATGGCAGCCTGAGCAAACTAATACAACATGTAAAACTCTTGGCATGTAGTAGAAATCAACTATACAGATATACAATATGCGTACACAGTGAATAATGGGGGAAAACGTTTACCCCCATCTAAAAGGACAAGCTAATTTCAAGTACTTTAGCAGGACTCCTTTTTAATTCGAATTACTATTAGTACTATATTATAATGTATTATAAAGTTATATAGTAATAGTAATATCATAGGAATATACCACATTTATATTTATAATTAATATTATTATTAAGTGGGCCTGATAGTACCTTATCCCCAGTGAAATGTTTTCACCTTAAGGCTCTGTATGTACTCAAAAAATAATGTTACTATGCTTTGTTGAATCTGTTTAATAATTCATAATTTTTACCAATTACAACAGGTCTCTAGTTTCTTTCTGTCCCAACAGTCTCTCACCTTGACAAATCCTTAGAAGTGTGAGCTCCCTCGCTTGAAAAAAAATGAAAATGTAAAGAAGGCGTACTAGAAACTGTGATATGCAAGCAAGTTAGATTCCACAGGCTTTTCTTTCTATGAATGAAGTGGTGCAATATACGTGTGTCCCAGTATATGTGTCATTTATATGTAATAGTTAAAGCTCAAATTTAGAGCATCCATTGTTCTTTTGGAATTTTTCAGTAATGGAAGTTTATTCTTTCACAGGTATCAAGGTTACATTTATACATACCGAGTGTCTCAGACAGAAACAGGTTCTTGGAGTGCTGAGGTATAGCTCTTTTATTTATTTTTGCTTCTGGGGGTATCAGGGAGGTATTTGAAATTTAGACTGCTTTTATAAAAGAGCTGTCAAATCCTACATTCCCAAAATATTCATCAGATTCAAATCACTAAAGCTCTAATCCAAAATTGCTCATGGATCATTAAGAAGCCTTTAGAGAATTTTGGTCCCAGTTCTGTTCAGCCACCACTGTATGGAGTGGTCTCACTTTGGGGGAAAGATAACAAAGTTAAAGGATTGTGTCAAACTTTTGGTGCCTATGTGAAATTTTAGAAAGCGTATCAAAAATATATTAAAAAATCAAATCGACAATTATTTACCAAATGATACTAATGCAAGTGTTGGTTCTATGGGGGATTAAACAACATGACTCCTGTTTTCTAACAGCCTGTAAGACCCTTGAGAGATACAACATGAATTAAACAGCAATGTGAGAGCCTGGTGTTTGCTGTCAGGTGGATGTGTGTTCCAGGTCTTATCTACCCCCAACCCCTTTCTGAGAGGTCTATGACCTTGGGTAGGTTACCTAATTTTTCTTTGAACCAGTTTCTTCATCTGTAAAATAAGCCTAAAAATAGTCCCTTATTCATAGGGCTCATTTTGAAGATTAAATGAGATAATGCATATAAAGAAAGCTCTTAGTCACAGGACTAGCAAGCAAGCCCTCGAAAATGGGAACTCACCCAAGTTGCTGAACAATATGATTGTTTATAGTCAAGTGCTATCTAGCACAAGCATTTGAAGAATAGAGAATTTTCCAAGTATTAGGGTAATCAAGGCTGCTCTTCTGTGGAGGCAGGACTCCCAGCTTAGCCATATGGGAAGGACAAGGATAGGTAGAAAAGAGAGAGAGGGAACATTCCAGTGACTCTTAAGCTATGCTCCACAAAATCCTAAAGTTCTTTCATTTGAGTGCCTTGGAGTTGCCCAGGGGGTTACAGAAGGATAGGAGGATGTGTGGGTATGCTTTGGGTCCCCAATTTGTCTTTAATCTGAGCAGTCCCTTTTATTTTGCTTATCAACTGGGGCTCTGAGAAAGATTTCATTAGAAAAATGGGTTCTTATGGCTTTGAAAACATTTGAAAGTCACAGTACCATTGCAAGAAATGCCTGTAGAGTGAATCTCTTTCCACATACCAGGGTAGTATCAATATATTAACATGCTAGCAAAGTAGAGGTCTCTACAATGGAAACTTCTGACTTCAAATGCTTTCTCTGATTTCTGACTTTTTATAAAAACAGTCCGTCTTTATAATGAAAGGACTTCATTATGAGTTGTTTGAAAACGTAAATGCTAATATCAACCTCTATTAATAACTCAATCTATGCATTTAAGAAACTCTGAAGTCTAGACTTAAAAAAAAAGTAAAATAGCTCTAACTTTTACAGATGCACTGGTGAACTAGAAAGCACAAATTGCAGACTACAAATGTTTTGAACTACTGAGATGAATTAGGGCAACTTTTCAAACACATTGTTGCTTTATATCAGGATAATTGATGCTACCATTCTAATTAGAGGAAAAGCAGTACTATTTCTAATCAAAACTGTTTATACCCGTTTATTTTTAAAAGTTCTCTGCATCACTGCAGAGATGATTGAATAGGTTATTAAATTTCATTTATTATGAGGAATAGTAGTGTATGATATATACATATATAGTTGTATATAATTTGACCAGAAATAGCCCTTCTCCCTAGAGAAGTAGCCTTCAGCTGCTGAAGAATATTCTTTATGGAAAGGATCTTAAATTAGTAGGGCTTAGGTAACGTTTTCTTTAAACTTGTTTTCTTCCATTTCAAGTATAACATCATATGCAGATTGTTACATGTTTGTGATCATGTTAGGGAAGAAAGGGCTTATTGAACACAAATGCTCTCTCATTCTGTTGTCTGGTCTGACCCGTTTATCTAATAATATTGTAATTATCTGCACCAAGAGAGCAGAAGATTGGCATGTTTTCTCCAAAGGGAAAACAGTTTAAAAAAAAAAACTCTTTAGATTTATTTTTGAAATGCATATTGCATTTTTTTCTATCTACTAAATTTGCCTTCTAGTTATGTTTTCCTATGGTGAATATTAAACTAGTGTGTATTCTTAGAGCTCATATCATCTGACTGGAAGAAATTTCTCTGGAGCATATTGAAGACCAGCTATGATCCAAAGCATGTTTCCATGGATAACTGTATGGGAAATGTGCAAATTTGAACAATAGCTGAGTTCAGTGACAGGATGGGAGATGTCAGTGGTACAATTCTTGTGGTAAATGTATTTTCAAAATGGGGTAAATAACAGATAATTTATATTGCTCTTTGGAACAATGCTTTAGTTTGCCACATTGCAGGAAAAATCTTGACAGTAGCACTAAATTTTCTGTGCAAAGATTGTGCTAGAAATCTAGGTGTGTCTGCAGTTTGTTTCAAAGAGTGGAGTGAAATTGAACCCTGGATCCACTGAACTACGAAAGACAAATATTATGTGATTTTCTAGCTTTAGGTAGACTTTTAGGTTTTATCATTGCCTAGTATATTAATTTATCTCATGTGACTCAGGCTAAGATTTTGCCAAATTGTTAATTCAGAGAATTCCACGTACAGTCACCTATCATTTATTAATATGTTCATTGTCTGTGGTACATTGTAAAAAATGTACTAACATCTCCCTGCTGACTTCAGTGCTTTTGGGCTTTTCTGGATATTTGATCATCAGTAGATCAGTGGATGTTAAATAATTTTACTTATTGACCTAAGCAAAGCACTATAAATTCAGACAGTTATTTGCCAGTGCAACATTGCATGCCAAATTCAAATTGCTTTTTTACCTTCAGTGCTATTATTCCTCTCCATTGGCATGGAGAATCAAGTGTTAACTGCATACAAATTCTCATAAAAAAGATGCTTCTGTTGATAAATGGTTTTACAAGCCACAAGAACAGGTAAAAAGATGTGTGGTTTGAAATCTTTCCACACCGGGGGAGTGGATTAGTTTCTCTTCTGGTTGGTGACTCTAACTTCACTAGAACCTGTTTGGTCTCTAATCTGCCTAATCTGAAAGGAAAGAGACTGGGTCCTGGGATCTAGAGCCAGTTCTGCCTCTGGCTATCTGTGTGACCTTGGGCAAGCTGAATTATCTCTTTGTATTTCCATTTTCTTATCTGTCAAATGGGAGTAACCAAATCAGCCAATAACTGCCAGGAGATGGGAAAGTGCTTTGAAAATGAAAAAGTACTCCAAGGAAGACATAAGAAGGTTATTTTGTGCCTATGGCCTGCCTTTGACATTTGGAGATTCTATCCTGGAGCCAAAGAACTGTTTGGATCCCTGTAAGAATGGCCATATTATTTTGGATGAGGTCTCAATAGAGTTCTGGGAAGGTGTTTTGACTGTAAGGTTGGAGCTGAGTGGGAGAGTATTCTGTATCTACTGAGTAACTGTGTGAGCCTATGAGCTGACACTAATTTAAAGCTAAAAAGAACTTTTTCAGTGTTTTCAGTGAAAAACTCTTTACCCCAGTGTAGGAAATGACCAAGAGTTATAGTGGACAGTGTGCTGTCTTTAGCATTTTGTCTAGCTGACACACGTCTGTATGCCAGCCTTCATGTTTTCTCATTAAATGCTAACAAACAAATAGCTCCCACCTCAAAAACTTTCTAGATGGAATAGCTGAAAAACAGCTTTCTAAAAAAACTGGTCATTGTTCAATTGCTTATAGCAATACTATTTTATTTCATGTAAAATGACAGTTTTGAGCTGACGCTTAAAGCTTGGCTCATAAGCTTTTGCAGGAAATTGTTGTTGATTTCAAGTAGTGTCTTTACAAGAGAATTCATGTCAGGAGAGGAGTACATTTTAATAGTCACCTGCAAATAATGATCCCTTCAAAACCAAACAAATAAATAAAGGTGACCTTAGTCTTTCATTTTCGTGTCATAGAGAAAACCTTGTCACAGTGAAGTGTTGACATAAAGAGCAGTTTGGGGGAGGATAGGGAAGTTTCCCAAGGAGGAAAAAATTTAATGTGTAGGATGAGGCAGGACATATCGTGAAGTGAAAGAGTGTGAGGACTAACTAGCCCTGCATTGTGTGCCTCATAACAGCCAGTTTTTAATTTCCTGTGTAGCATTTTATATTGTGGAATGATGGCAGGGAGGATGGGTTGTAGTTGTTGTTTTATTTGTTTGCTTTTTTTTTTTTTTGGTTCTTCAGGCTTTTTATTAATGACCTGTAGGATCTGTGTTTTTTCTCTGTTTAACTGCATCCTCTCTGTTGGTGAATTCATTGTGGGTAATGGCCTGTATACCCTTAGAGGTTCGGGATGTATGATGGGTAGCAGGCAGGAAGGGCAGGGCGATGAGCAGCAGCTTGTACAAACTAATACCACCCTCGGGAGAACTGAAATGACAGCTCATTAGCTCCTCTTGCAGGGAAATTCAGCCAACCAAAGTAAGCTCTTCTAGAATGTTGTTTTTCCTTCTTCCTTATGTTTTCAGATATTTGAACAAGTTACACAAATGTTACCTCTCTAAGCATCCCTTGCACGTTTTGTAGGCCCTTTTTTGTATCATTATGAGGTAGATGAATAATCTGCTTGGCCTTTTATTTTCCAGACAGCACCTGGGGTACATAAAAGATTTTTCCGGAAAATAAAAAATCTCATTTCAGCATTTCAGAAGCCAGATCAAGGTATTGTAATACCTTTGCAGTATCCAGTTGAGAAGAAGCCCTCAGCTAGAAGTACACAAGGTGCTACAGGTATGGTTTACTGTTTATTTTTGACAGGTTTGGAAGCTTAGGGCTATGAGTCACCCTAGTCATAAACATATAGTTATAGAAAAATGCAATAAGAAGATGGAGCCAGCAGCCCCAGTGAGAGGGGGCTATTCACATACTATGATTTCCACATGCTATACTATAAACTTTTAATAAAACTCTGCAAAAATATAAAAAATTCTATGAGCCCACAACATTTTAATCTCTCTTATCCCGTCTTGTTTTCCCCAGCCTGTTTTGTCGCTCCATGAGTACCATTTCACTTCACTAATTCAGACACAAATAATTTGAAAGACGGGACAATTCAGAGAACATCTGGACTTGTCCTTTACTTTTGCTTATTATCAGGTAGTGTTTTCCCTTCAGGGATGGAAAGGCTAATGTTAGCTTGGTCCACGTGATCCCGATTTCTGAATTTGTGGTGCTTGAATTAATAAAATTTTATTGTAGCAAAGGAAAGGAAGTTAGTAGACTTTATTTTTCCACTAGCGCAAATTGTTACATCTCCTGAGCAAAGCTATTTTAGTGGACATGTCAGGCTAATCACCGAATACTAGCCAATGTCCTCAGCTGTCAGATTTGTGATAGTTGATATCTATTGAAGGGGGTTAATCATCTGTCTTGAGTAAGAGGATACGCGTTGATTGAAACAATAAATATTTATGATAAAATAAAATGAGTTGTTATTTCCTTTTTTGACAGGGACCCAGGCTCAGGCATAAACTGACAATTAGACTCAGACTCAAGTGGTGAATTAAATTAATGAGTAGTTAGCTTTTTTAAAAGAAATGTAAATAGAATTCCAATTTACAAATTGGCTCAGTATGCCATTCTCTATAACAGTTTTAAATACTTGTTGCTTGAGCTATATCATTGGATTGTATCTTTGTGAACTTTATGCAGTTGGAAATTTTATGTTTGAGTTAACCTGCAATTTTAATAGCTTGTAAGTTTATCTCTTCTTGATTTTTGTTATTATTTTTCTTTAGGGAGAAGAGAAGATCCTGATGTCTTCCTGAAAGCACCATGAAGAAAAATAAAACACACCTTGTACTTTATTTTCAATAATTTAAATATATGCTAAGTCTTATATATAATTGATAATACAGTTCAGTGAGCTACAAAAGTATTTCTGAAACCATCATAGTCCTGTAGTGGAAGCATCTATAGCATGATGTTAAAGCTGAAATGGACTTTTCGGATAATGAGGAGCTTTGAAATGAGGATTGGGGAAAAATAATTCCACAGGTTATTTTCAGTTATTGTATTTACAAACGGGAAATGACTTAAAACATAATGATACTTTATAAAAGATTAATGTCAATTCTTGCCAAATATAAATAAAAATAATCCTCAGTTTTTCTCAAAAGCACCATTTTTAGTGAAATATTATTTGATAGCTACTGATTTTAAAATGTCTTGCTTGATTATATGGCAGGAAGCTGGTTCGTGTCCCTCGTCTTTGTCATGTGCGGTTCTACATTAGGTATTATGCTCTCCAATAGCTATAGTGTTATAGGCTCTCTGGGGATATATGAAACTGTGCACTGTGTGCTAAAAACAGGTACTAGATAGAGAGTGAAGAATTTCTGTTTAATTCTGAAAGCAACCTTCTTGCCTAGTGTTCTGACGTTGGACAGTAAAATCCGCAGACCAATCTGTAGTTTAAAATTCCCGTAATTTAAAATATGCTCTAAATGTTTATTATATTTGATGCTATAGGATTTGAAATTATATTACAAATCTGATGAAGTGGACTTTTCTTCTTTTCATTTACCTCTGCCCCAGTAGTTGTCACTCCATGTAAAAACAGCAGCTGCAGCTCATCAGCTGTGGCTCATGAGTAGCTGATTTACAAGCAGTCTCCCTATCAGGTGGCCCTACAAGACCATTGGAAGCTTACAGGTTACATTAATTTTTAACAATTCCAAGTAATTGTAACCTAAGTGAGAGCCAAGATTGTAGGCAGTGATGGGTATTGGTATTTTCTTCTCACATTTATATTTTCATGACTCTTACAATTCAATTATATGTCAAGTTGCTTTGGGCCTCATAGAATTCATTCACTCAGCAAACACAATAGGCACTGGGGTAGAGAAGTAAAAACACCTGGCCTCCACGCGTAGGTAGCCCCCTGCCTAGTTGGACAAGAAAACAATAGCAATAAAAGACAATAAAAGAAAATAACAATAAAAGACAAGAAAATAACAATAAAAGGTGGTAAGTACATGGTAAGTCAGGGTCCCAACATGTAGGTAGATCTTTTTTTTTTTAAATGTTCTACTCCATTTATAGTTATTATAAAATATTGGCTATATTCCCTGTATTGTACAATATATCCTTGTAGCTTATTTTATACAGAATAGTTTGTACCTCTTAATCCCCTACCCCTATATTGCTCCTCCCCCCTTTTCTCTCCCCACTGGTAATCAATAGTTTGTTCTCTATACCTGTGAGTTTGCTTCTTTTTTAAAATATTCACTAGTTTGTTGTATTTTTTAGATTCTACATATAAATGATATCATACAGTATTTGCCTTCCTTTGTCTGACTTATTGCACTTAGCATAATACCCTCCAAGTCCATCCATGTTGTTGCAAATGGCAAAATTTCCTTCTTTTTTATGCCTGAGTAGTAGTCCATTGTATATATATACCACATCTTCTTTATCCGTTCATCTGTTGATGGACACTTATGTTGCTTCCATAGCTTGGCAGTAAATAATACTGCTGTGAACATTGGGGTGCACGTATCTTTCATATTAGTGTTTTTGTTTTTTTCGGATATATACCCAGAAGTGGAATTGGTGGATCTAGCTCTATTTTTAGTTTTTTGAGAAACCTCCATATTGTTTTCCACAGTGGCTGCACCAATTTACATTCCCACCAACAGTGTACAAGGGTTCCCTAGGTAGATCTGTCTTTAAAGGAAGAATGAGTTAACCCAATACTCTGGCCCATGGTCCATAGGAAGCTGGTTCATTATAAATTTCATTATAAACCAGTAACTTGGAATTCTGGGTTGTATGTGAGAGGTGGTGAGCTTGGTTAATAATTAGCGAACTGCCAAGAGACAAAGCTACTCTCTCTGCTGGCAACATCTGATTTCTGAGCATTTAACCTGGATGCTCTGGGAGTGCAAAAGTGGAGTATGGCCACAATGATGTATTGTGCTCCAGTTACCATTTCTAGAAGTAAAAGCAGCACTTTAATTTGTAAAGGAATTCAGAAAGCTGACTTTCCAAATAAAATGCATATATTTAGATACTTTTTAATTATTTGTAGCTTGGGTTTAAATTTTAATAGGTGTAACTAATTTTTACTCTAATTTGTTCATTATGGAATAATCCTAAATATAGGAATTGTTTGCATGTTCCTTTACCAGGGCCTTTTTTGAATTATTTATGTTTTCTCATATTTTAATAAAGTATTTGAAATCTTTATTTTTCTAATTTGTCTTAAAATATTCCTTTCAAAAATATTCAAAGATAGGTGCTATTAATATACTAAATAAAGCATTGATGAAGGTCATCTTATCTTATTGGACTGATTCACTGAAAAAGGTAAGTGCTTTTCTGTTTTGCTATTGTCAAATTTTCCAGTTGATGTGCCTACCCACTGTTTTCTTTTGCTGGCCTTTTATTCATCAAGTTTTTTGCACTTTTTCTTTCCTGGCATGAGCATCCTTGCTATTTCCCAGTACATAATAGCTTGCACCTTTACAGAAAGGTCATATCCTTGCCATATCTAAAATATTGCCATGTTAACATATACCTGTAAGATGCTGAGTAAAGGTAGAAAAATGCACATATATTTCTAAGTGCACACCTTTCTTCAGATAAAAACGTGTGTCAGCAAGCCCACAAGGAACATGACAGTTTATCAAATACTTGTTCATTTTCTCTGAAATTTGTTCTGAAGAGATAAGGTCAGTAGGGAGACAAGCTTAGGTAATTGTCCATTTGGCTGTTACAGGCAGGGAACTTTTGTGGTAGTACATAGGTAGAATAGGTCTACAGAGGACGCCTCTGATTAAGTCTTCTGGTATAAATCAAGGGCTGGATTTAAGATATTATTTGTGGTAGAATGGATAGAAAAGTTAAAATGTGAGAACCAGCTTTAAAATCTGTTAAGAATGTTTAGACATCAGCTTATGCTTTATTTGATTCACTTATTGAGTTCAGAATCCAAAGTCTATTAATAATAAAACCCAGATTTGCCCTTGAGCATTTCAAGGTTACAGATGCCTAGTCTTCCTGTTAGTGGGCTATAAATTCAACTTTGTCACCTATGTTTGCCCTTGCAGTAAATGGGACACCATAATTTTGCAGTTTGCAGCTCAGGGTGAAGTTAAACTGCCCAGTTTGGACACTTTCATAATTTGGGGTCATTGGCCCAACTTGCAGTAAAAGGCTGAATTTTCATCATTAGGTCATTTGCTTTTTAAATGAATATTTTTATGTGGAAAGAATATAACCTGATCGACTGGAGAGAGCCCATCAACATAGCAAATGAGACTTGAATTTGCTTTTCGGCTTTGTCACTGATTATGCCCGTGACCTTAGGTAAGTCAGTCCGTTGCTGGTATTGCATTTGCCAAATAGGAACAATTAAGTCTTGCTCACCTCACAGGATTATTGAGATACTAGAATTATATAAATTTATGGTAGTAATATTACTAAATGTTTAAATAGCATTGATATTTAAGGATCTCTAAAAGTGAGGGTGAATAGGGAAGGAACATGGAGAAATCCCTTATCTCCTTTATAATTTTCTCAACGTAGGAGCTCTACTTTCTTTTTGTACTGAGGGTGGGATGCATATTTTGAAAAACCAATCTCCTGGTGTTACTAATATCCCCCAACTCCACTCCCCACCCCCATTGCTTTTTGCTGATTGGTGTGTTGAAACAATCAGGATTGTCTTCTGCTCTGTCAGTCTTCTCACTGTATCTCTGTATATATCAGTGAATAAAAGGCAGCAGCGCACTTTAGAGTGGTGTAAATTCCAGGATTCCAAGCAAGTTTCAGTAACAGGCTGTTTGGACTATAGGTACCCCATTACTATCAAGATGAATTTTGGAAGATCTGTTGGCCAGCCTTCCCAGTGTCACTCGTAAATGTCTTTTTGTGAAAAATAAGTGCCAATGGCCATTGTAACTGCCCAGGACTTCGGGCCTCAGAAGAGTTGTTTTTTAGTCTTTCCTGATTGCCTCCCCTGCCCCATTCATTCTTTGCCAATGCGTTGGGTTGCCCTGCTCTCCTAGCTCCCTCCCACCCCTGTTTTTCAATTCTTAATTTTCTTTCTATTGCCCAGAAAGGCATCAGCAGGAGAGAGAACCTTTATGAGTCCTAGCCTAGAGGCATTTAAACTTGAAACAAACAGCTACTCTTTTTTTATTTTTATTTTTATTAAATGGTCATTTGTGTCAGAGATCCTATATGTATGAAAACTAAAAGTGAAGAGGCGTCTGCTTAGGATTAGTGCCTTTTTGACTTCTGCACCTATATTTTCAAGGTGATGTGGTTTTATTGCTCCCTTTTAGGGAGCCACTTTTCAAATCTCAGGTGACCAGACTGACTTGAAAATGCAGTTTGGCGCATGAATAAAATGGGACACAGTGTTCATTTGCAATTTTATTTTTTAAAAATGAAATATTCAAAGTACTTTTTTCTTTCAAATATCGACACATAATGTTTAACTTTAAATATTTACAGCATGTTGTGATGCTCTTGTAGAAAAATGCATGCTTCTGGCCTGAAAGCCAGAGCAAAATGCAAAAGACCATTTAACTGCAGCCAGAGAACATGAACCTGTACAGTATCCAGTCACTTTTCAGCACAGGATTGAGAGCAGGAATACAAAACTGGAACCTATTGTTTCCTAGCAACATGGCTCAGGCCATTATAACACAATTTCCTGTATGATTAGAACCTCTAACTGTTGTTATATAGAAACTGAAAATCTTGGCATACACTGTAAACATCTTTACTTCTCATGAGAAAGTAAGCAGCTAAAAAGAACATTTTTCTGACGTAAAGGCTATACTTCTCTTTTTCACCTTCTTTCTTACTGATGCTTTTGCCAGAAGAATAGTAAAGATTTAGACATTGTCATGAATCATACAAGTAAAATATTTTCAAGGACACAATCTGATATACTAACATTTATTTAAGAGGTTAAAGTCCACCACTAAATCTAAGGAAAGATTTTTTTAACTGCCAAACACATTTCCTTTGACAAATAATGTAAGATGACAACTGCCAAGACAAAATCCACAGCAAGTTTAACTCTAACTATTTTCAGTTACTGTTTAGGAAGTAATTTCTTCTTACACACAGTAGTATATTTGGTCCTTAATAGCTTTCACGTGAAGGACACACTGAAACAGTCACTATTTTGTGGTTGAATTCTTTTTTGTTGTTGTTTGTTATTTTCTGGTTTTTTTCTTTGTTTTGTTTTTTTGTTTTTTTTGCAGAATAAAGAACCTTACAGAAGGCTGTGGAAGAGCAGTCTGAGATCTGAAGTACTAGTCAGGTCAGCTATGTGTACGTGAGTTCCTCTAAGAACACAAGAACGTTGCATCCAACCTGGAGCCTTCTGTTTTTCCACAAGCTATAATACTCTCCAGTCTCTCCAAAAGTTCCTTTCAATACTTGATTACTGTACTTTTGCTTCCATTACCACTGAACTCCATTACAGTTGCCCTTACAGGAACATATCTTTATAAATGCAAAAACTTTGCCCTGACTCTCTTAGGTGCTATTACAGTAGGGCCTGGTCTGGTTAAAAATTTTTTTAAAAAAAGGAAAGAGAGGAAAAAAAGTAGAAACAACATGATAGGATGTTTGAAACTGTGTCAATAGTAATGAAAAAGAACAATCTTACAAAAATTAGAATTAATTGTATACCTCTCTACATAGCATGTGAATTCCAAATTATACATCGTTAAGTTTTCATACATTTGGCTATGTTGTATATATTATATTATATATATAGTCTATATATTATAGATCTTCTAGATAAATTGACAGTAAAGGACACGCTTATTTTATACATTATTTTGTTGGGTTAAAAATAAAACATATGCCTATTTATATGGTGAGTGTTTTACTAAAAATTAGTATGAATTGGGCTTTATATCCCTTTCCTTCAGGAATCATGCTTCTAATCAGTAATGATTAGAATGACAACTAAAAATAAATATATTTAAATGTCTGTTCAACTGTGAACTTTTCAGCTCATTTGGATCTCTAGACTGTAGTGCAAGAGTCAAAACAAAATAAAACAAAAAAAGCACAAATAAAATGGGCCTAACTAGGAAAAAGAAACAACCATGGAGTATTCCCTGCCTCCGGCCCAGAATATTCTTCATAGGAGAGCCCGACTGCTGTGCTCTCACTTGAACTTACTTGAATGGTGTGTGGCTGTGTAGTGTCAGCCACCTGTCTTCTGGGTATGAGAAACTCATATATTTCTCTTTAAAATGCTTTTACTTTCATCAAGAAATACAAATGAATTGTTCTTTCATTAATTTAAACTTCAGAACTACAAGTCAATAAAGGCATCCTTTGTATTCACATGACTAGGAAGTGATGTACTCAATATCTCCATGTTCTTATTAAGAAATGCCAAAATGTTTCTCTTAGATTTACTACTCATTAGTGCTAACCTTTTGGGTTTTTTTCTCTTTCCTCCTAAAAAACTTTGGAAGTGGTAAAGAGAACAGTAATAGTTCAAGGCAGTATTAAAACCACAGCTCTAAGTGATAAAAAGTGCATTTTCTGAATATAATACAAATATAACTTTAAGAAACTAAAGGCACAAATTAAATATGTATTTCAAACTAGAAATGCACAGTTCATGGTAATTACTATTAAGTAAAAGCTTCAAATACTTGTTTCTAATGGATATTTAAAGCAGTTTGAAAATGATACATCATCAGTGAATTGCAAAAAAGTATAATTGCTTAAAGTATAAGCAAAATAGACTCTAATATTGACATCTTGGATTAGTGATAAAATACATCATCACATTTATGAATGCACTCTTTATATACAGTTCGTAAGTTACTTTCCCATTGATTTAAAAGAACATCAGAGGTTCTAGGAACTTAAGGTCCAGTTTTAGGCTGGTGTGGAGGTATTCAAATTTTCAACAAGTTTGCTAGTAATTTAGATCCTCTCCTGAATAAATACTATACCATTAACACAGGCCTGATTCAGGGCAAAAAACCCCAATATGAGTTCATCATGAATTCTTTCTCTCTCTTGGAATACATGTGTAATCCCAACCTGAAGGTTTTGAAAATGAAATGTCTGGATACACCCTCCCCTACTGTCAGCGGGCCCTTGCCTTTCTCTCACTCTACTTTGTGTAGTTAGGAGCCAGACTCTTTAAAAACCTTAATGTGAGCCTGGATTCTGACTTTGCATATTTTCAAAAAAAGACTGTCATCACAAAGCAAGGCAATGACCCCACACTGCATTTAGGTAGTGGCTGGAAAGAATCCAAACTGCGACATTCCATCATAAATTCTCCTTCAGACATAGTGAGTGTCCAGACCTGGTGATGAAAGTGCTGAAGCTGGCTCAGGAGAATTTTCCACAGGCCACATTGTGCTGTCCTGTATTTTCATTTGTGGTAACTTACAATTGCACAGCAGTTTACAAACTGTCTCTTTGTCACTGGGCACAAAACTCCCAGCTCACCAAGGGGCTTCTTTTATGACAGGATTCATACAGATTGAGAAACTGCAGCTGATATTAACACTAATCCTGATCTTTTTCTGCATTTTAAATGATTGTAGAACAAAATAACCCTTCCTGGAAAATAGCTATTTTCCTAGGCAGGAGAGATGATTAAATCAAAAATAAATGGGCAAAGACAGAGAACTAAAATAACTAACCATATAAATTATCTTAGTAAAAAATAGTCTGCCTCTCTATAATTAGTTGAAATGTTTTAGGTTGGAAAGGACTCAATTAAATTTCCTATGGCTGGGAGATGTTCAATACAGAATTGCACATTTGAAAGATAAATCTAAGTGGGGTGAAACAATGTGGCAGCAACTTCCCGTGATGTTTGGTTTGGTCTTCCCTTTGGTACTTTCCTTTCACCTTAGTACTATGTCTATTTTTTTTTAAAGGTTTTTGGCTCTTATGAATTTCTGCAGTAGTAGTGAGTGTAATGTGTCGGCATCCCAGGCATGTATGCCTGTGAAAGCCTATTTTTTTTTTTTGTACCAGAATCACACTTTGTAGTAAATTACCTTTCATGTGCACAAAACCATTGGATTAGTGTATAAATACTGAATCACGAATGTGAAACTATGACCAAAACACACCCTATATATAAATGAGAAATTCCTACCCAGGTTAATAAAAGCTATGTTTTCATGACACTAATACAGCTGGACAACTGAGTACAAAATGTAGTCAAAACAAGTTGGGTGGGAGGAGTTACATTGGCCAGCTGCCTTGGTATCATGTACACACGAGCAAATAGTGGCAATTGGGTTTGGTGACCACACCCACAGGGAAGCGTGGTAGACAGAACCCAGCCACCACACGCCAAAACACAGCACAACAACATGGCATCTATTTCAACAAGCAAGGAGGAATCATCAGGGATGAAGGGCAAATGGGTCCTGACTCTAGGAGATGGTGGCCGAGGACATTTTACACTTCTTTCAAAGTTTCCTATAACAGATCTGGAACATGTGAAAGAGCTGGCAGTCTTTCGAAATGCAAGGTTCAGATATGATTGCACCACCTTTCAAATAGCCCGAAAGTTCTGCCAAAAGCTGAATATGAAACCACGTGTCACAATAGACATAGAGAACCTTGGGTTCTTTCTTTATATTTGAACATCGGCATGGTTCCACAAATTGAAAGCGGTGCTTGCTGAAAATTTTTTTGTTTTTAGTTGTTTGAGTTCTACTTGTGTTATTTTGAATACTGCCACACAAGAACTAAAAATCTCTGTCATTTCTTGAAGAGTTTAAACAAACAATATTAAAATACCATCTTCCGTCACATTGAAAGGCAGTTGGATATGTTTCTCCTCCATATTTACACATACAGAGTTCTGATCTAGAAAACCAATACAATAAACCATTTTATGTTTTAAAAACAGGCAGTCTTTGGTGACGCAAAGGCAGAGATTTTTTTTGTTACCTCCTGCCTATTTCGCTCTGTCTCATAAAGTGAATATTGTTGGCACTGTCAGAAAGTTCTAAATACTGCTCAACAGACAAAACAAAATACCCATCATAACTTTGTACTCTCCCAGTGCTCAGCAGCTGCTGCTTTTCCCCCTCTGTCCATGCCCGGATACCCTCTTCCCCTTCTTGCAGCCTTCTTTGCTCCTTAGTCCAGGCCTGGGCCACAGCACGCTGTCTGGCGATCTCCAACACGTGATTCTTTTCCTCTTCGACAGTTGTCCCATACCGGATGTTGAAGCACAGAGCCCCGTGCTGGAGCTGGATATCTGCAAACCGTTTAGTCCTCCCATTCAACACCGAAGTCATCTGGGACACAGTGACATTGACACCATTCTCCAGAATGCGCCTCCCCCCAGTGTTCCCGATGAGCACCAGGTCTTCCTCCAGAGACCCAAGCTTAATGAAGTAGTGCGTGTCCCTCCCCTCTATGGTAAAATGTAGGTTTTCCAGGTAATGAGCATTATTGAGAATGGCAGCCAGCCGCCTGCTATCTTCATTGGCTACTCCTATAATATCGGCTGTTACTATGCCATCCTTGATGGCGAATTTTATACCTTTGCCGAAAACAGAAGGAACAGCAGCAAACCTTGGTTGCTTCCCTCCTTCAAGGCACCGTCCATCATTATATCGGGGAGTCATAGGAAGTTGGTCCAAGGAAATGAAATTCCTGAGCTGTTTCTGGAGCTCACACTGGATACCCAGGATGGTCTAGGAAAGAAGAAAGGCACAGAGCAAAGGCAGCAGACGATTAGACACCTAGCATACGCTTGGTCACTGTAGAAAGCAAAGGCTTGCCAGGTTGCTTCCTTCTCTCTTTAACTTGCTGGTTTGTGATTTAAAAACAAGCCACATTTGGAATCTCTTCACCAGAGCTTTGGAAAAGACTAACAGGTGACTTGATCACCTGGCATATATTTCTTGATATCTTGGTGAGTTAAGAGTTAGGCATAAGCAAATACGTTAAAACTTGATACCATAGAATCACAGAGCTAAAAGGCACTTAAGTGGGTCTAGTTCCCCCCAAACAAAGACATTTTATTTTTACCCATTCAACGGACACTGACTAGCTGTTTCTTATTGGATGTAGAGTAATACATTAGCCACAGTGAGGTATAAAGAGACGGTATAAGGCATCATTCTTGCTTTCAAGTAGCTTATGACCTTATAAATCACAAGGGCAAATCAGCAAGTCCATGGATCTTTTTATGTGGATTTAAAAAAAAAAAACCTTTTTACTATGGCAGATTTCAAACATACTAAGAAATAAAGAGAAGAGAATAATGAACCTCCAAGTATCCATTGCAAGGCATCAGAAATTTTCAAAATTTTGTTAAACTTTTTTCAGGACGTTTAATTACAAAAAGCATTTACATGTTATATGTATTTACAAAAAGGGATAAGCCTATAGTACTTATTTAGAATTTCGTTTCCTTTATAATTTTTATACTTGAATTTCAAGCCCTCTCACCCCAAGTTTCAGTTTTATTTTGTTAAAGCCAATTTTTATTTTCTTTTTTGGCAAACACAGATATTCCTCTTTCTTTCAGCTGAAAGATAAAGTTCTTTCTTGTTGTCATTTGTACCTCATTAAGTGATGGAATTATCTGCCGAACCTTGAATGTTTTGGTATTCCTATTTTTCCAGAGACTTTCTCTCTGTAATATTTATTATTTTGCTTCATTACTCCTGTATACTGTTTTTTCTTGTTTTTTTTTTAACATCTTTATTGGAGTATAATTGCTTTACAATGGTGTGTTAGTTTCTGCTTTGTAACAAAGTGAATCAGTTATACATATACATATGTTCCCATATCTCTTCCCTCTTGCGTCTCCCTCCCTCCCACCCCTCCCTGTCCCACCCCTCTAGGTGGTCACAAAGCACCAAGCTGATCTCCCTGTGCTATGCGGCTGCTTCCCACTAGCTATCTATTTTACGTTTTGTAGTGTATATATGTCCATGCCACTCTCTCACTTTGTCACAGCTTACCCTTCCCCCTCCCCATATCCTCAAGTCCATTCTCTAGTAGGTCTGTGTCTTTATACCTGTCTTGCCCCTAGGTTCTTCATGACCTTTTCTTTTTTCTTAGATTCCATATATATGTGTTAGCATATGGTATTTGTTTTTCTCTTTCTGACTTACTTCACTCTGTATGACAGACTCTAGGTCCATCCACCTCACTACGAATATCTCAATTTCGTTTCTTTTTATGGCTGAGTAACATTCCATTGTATATATGTGCCACATCTTCTTTATCCATTCATCTGTTGATGGACACTTAGGTCGCTTCCATGTCCTGACTATTGTAAATAGAGCTGCAGTGAACATTTTGGTACATGACTCTTTTTGAATTATGGTTTTCTCAGGGTATATGCCCAGTAGTGGGATTGCTGGGTCGTATGGTAGTTCTATTTTTACTTTTTTAAGGAACCTCCATACTGTTCTCCATAGTAGCTGTATCAATTTACATTCCCACCAACAGTGCAAGAGTGTTCCCTTTTCTCCACACCCTCTCCAGCACTGATTGTTTGTAGATTTTTTGATGATGGCCATTCTGACTGCAGTGAGATGATATCTCATTGTAGTTTTGATTTGCATTTCTCTAATGATTAATGATGTTGAGCATTCTTTCATGTGTTTGTTGGCAATCTGTATATCTTCTTTGGACAAATGTCTGTTTAGGTCTTCTTCCCATTTTTGGATTGGGTTGTTTGATTTTTGTTATTGAGCTGCATGAGCTGCTTGTAATTTTGGAGATTAATCCTTTGTCAGTTGCTTCACTTGCACCTCTTAGAACTGCTTTTGCTGCATCCCATAGGTTTTGGGTCGTCGTGTCTCCATTGTCATTTTTTTCTAGGTATTTTTTTGATTTCCTCTGATTTCTTCAGTGATCACTTCATTATTAAGTAGTGTATTGTTTAGCCTCCTTTTTTTTTTTTTTTGCGGTACGTGGGCCTCTCACCATTGTGGCCTCTCCTGTTGTGGAGCACAGGCTCTGGATGCACAGGCTCAGTGGCCATGGCTCAGGGGCCCAGCTGCTCCACGGCATGTTGGATCTTCCCAGACCGGGGCACGAACCCGTGTCCCCTGCATCGGCAGGCGGACTCTCAACCACTGCGCCACCAGGGAAGCCCATGTGTTTGTATTTTTATACTTTTTCTTTATCAGAATAATTTTTTTTTTTTGGCTGCATCATGAGGCATGCAAGATCCTAGTTCCCCAACCAGGGATTGAACCTGTGCCCCGTGCAATGGAGGTCAGAGTCGTAACCACCGGACTGCCAGGGAAGTCCCATTTATCAGAATAATTTGTTATTCCCATGCTCTTAATGCACTATGCCCTGAATTATTTTGCCGTTGGAGATCTGATGTTTTAGGTCTCTTAGTGAACAATTTTCTCTATATAGAATCCATAATAGCCCCTTTTTTATTTTAAAGATTTTTTTTGATGTGGACCATTTTTAAAGTCTTTATTGAATTTTTTACAATACTGCTTCTGTTTTATGTTTCGGTTTTTTGACCATGAAGCATGTGGGATCTTAGCTCCCCGACCAGGGATCGAACCCACACCCCCTGCATTGGAAGGCAAAGTCTTAACCACTGGACCGCCAGGGAAGTCCCCCTCCATAATTGCCCTTGGTAGCCCATTTTAGAATTGTTAAAGTTCAGTTCCATTTTTTTCTTCTGCAGCAGTCATCAAGTCACACATTAGTCTTTTCTTTTCCCAAAGCTCCAATTCCCTGATCCTTTCCTCATGGAGGCTTTTTTCTACCTCCTTATTAATCATGGACATTTAAGTGAATATTCAAGAAGACTCAAACATAAGTAAGCAAATATATGTTTCATGGTGTTGGATGCTCTTCTGTTTTTTTCAGCTAAATAGAGATGGTAAAACATATACTAACCTTTCCAGGATCCCACTCTTGAGTTTTTGTCTGAAGCTGTAGAAGCTCATAAGTTAATTCCAAATTTTCTAATTCTGGTTTGGGAAATCCAGGTAGTACATTGTGTAGTTGGAAACCAAATAGCTCCAACCAACTTCCAATGTCTGTGAGACACAAATTTAAAAGAAAAAAAGATTTTAAAGCCCATACTTTACAACTTTTGTGGAAAGCTTGAAAGATGCCTCTCCTGCCTTTGATATGTTTAGCCAATGGTAAGTTAGGGATAAACTCCCCCTTATGTCACCCACTCCAAAACATATGATCCTTTCCCCAGGGAAAGCTTTTGATTCATGGATAATCACAGAGATCAGCTCAGTTTACTGTGTGGAAATTCTCAATGTGGTAGTGGTAATAAGGCCACACAGAGTGTGATATTAGATTTACTTGATGCAACAGAATCCCGATATTTTTCTTCTATGAAATTATTTGTAGAAACTTTTAAGAGTGAAAACTACAAAAAGAAAGCTTAAAAGCAAAGAGAAAATGTACTGGGATGCAAAAGCATCATGTTTTATGCCAACATACACAGTTCTGTTCACTCTAGAAGACTAAGGAAGAGGGTGACTGCACAATAACTTGTGGGCTAGCTGGCAGGAAGAGGAAGCATATTTACAAAGGCATTGAGGTTATGTGATAAACGAGTTTTCTCTTTACCTTAGCATAAAGTGTTACACCGTTTAAATACCTGTGGTATACTTTGCAACATCTTGAATTTTGCCAACTGGATAGTTATTTTCAAAAGAGTAGAGGTTGAATGGTTTAGGAAGGAGGTTCAACTGTTTCCATATGTGATGATTAGGCGTCGTCCATCTACCAGCAACAACATCATAGTCTCTTTGCCCCAGGTGCACTAATTTAGTAAGGAAATCATAGAGTCCTCCATGAAAACCAATGATGACCTGAAAGTCAGGGTAAGTGTCATGATAGATATCTCCATAAGGCGTGTACAGTATCTCTTTTATCACCTGACCTCGACTGCTGAACACGGCTAGCGGGGTTCCTGTATTATCACAGGCTACGTAATATTCTTCACCACTGCTTAGCTCCATGGCAATAAGGTGACCTTGGAGATCATAATACAGGGATGTAATCTCTGAGCTCGTGTGGTTGTACAAATGAGTAACTCTTATGGGGTTGGCAAGGTCTGCATAAAAGAACTGGAGGTGCTGTCCTAGGCTGGACTTACTGGCGACACGTCGCCCAAGCCCATCGTAGTAATACTGCACAGTCCAGCCAGAAGCCTTATTGTAGGCTTTCTGCAGCAGACCATTAGAATTATATTCGAATATGTCATTTCCCCTCTGCCTCAGAAAGCCATCTTCATCCATTTTATACTGAATTTCTCCTAGTCTGGTGATGCGATCTCGGAGGTCATATCGGAGAGGAGTAAGACGAGCACTATTCCCGTGGCTTAAGAGGTTGATGTTGCCATTCAGATCATAACTATAACGCCACTGGGTTTTATCATTTACAGAAACAGTTTGAAGTTGCCCATCAGCATCGTATTCATAGAAATATCTTGTTATATTGGCATCTACTCCTACTCTGATATCACATATTACCATTCGGCCCATATTATCGTATTGAATAGTCATCCAGTAGGCAATTGCCTTTAGGATTTCATACTGGACTTCAATGACTTGTCCATTGGCGTTGAAGATCTTGGTGTGCTTCATCACTGTAGTAGTTATGACCTGATTTAAATCGTAATTAATTACACTGAATTTTCCAAACTGCTCTGTTCTACCAGAGACATCGACATATCGGTACAGATCTATGGGCAAAGGGGTTTCATTTATCACAGCTTGCATGCTGGTGACGCGGAAGTTGTTGTAGCTGTAGTCAAACCGAGCATTCACAAGGCCTTCTTCACTGAATCTGAAAATCTGGCGCCCAATAAGAGGTCCTGAAGGGATCAAAATAAAAATAATGAGAACAAAGCTAGGCGCTCAATACTGAACAATCAGAAAGTTCTAGTGTTCTTTTCTTTAGTATGGATGCTTTTACATTCAAAATAAAATATTAGAGATTGACCTCTGATATCTAATGCCTGGGCATCTCATCTCATAGATATATATATTCTCATAGTTGTGGTCACCAAATATGAAAAAATTTTAAATACTGTATATTATAGTTATAGAATAATTTAACTATAGGAACCTTAGAAGTAATAACCCATCCAGTAGTTGAGGTGATGAAACTGATATTATAAACATGTTTTTTAAAAAACAATTACTGACAAAAATACTTTATTTAACCTGTGCTACAAAGTCAGAGGGTCAGGTTTTGACCAATTCCAGCATTCAAGTAACTGGATTTGGGCATTTTATAAACCGAAAGGATGAAGTATAATCAAAAGTTTGACTTTTAAAGACATGTTGCCATCAACTGAGGCTTATAGAGGTTATATAGGGCTTGAGTTAGTTTCAGTGAGACTCATATCTTGCAGCTGCATCTTTGGGAAGATTTGGTGGTGAGTAGGGACCGGTACACAGTTAGACTAGGTACCTAGAACTCAACTTTCTTGAGAGCTGAGACATAGAAAGAGAAATGTACTGTATGTTTTTAAGGAATCAGCTTTCATGTCACTTATGTTTTTCATTTTCAATGGAAGATAATTTGATAATGCAAGTGAAATTTGGTTGAATTGAAGAATGTCTATAGGTTAATGCTTATATCTCAGACTGTGGCCAGCAAAAATTTCATAAGACTGATGTGGTTGTATACATCACCACCCTTTCACAACAAACCTGTTTGCCTGTATCTGATTGTGCAAATGAAGCCATCGTGCATCAGGTGTATTGTCTTAATCACTCCAGAAGACTCTTCATATGTTAATGTGACCTGGGTGGTATCATAGAGAATCTCGGACAGCCTTGCTTGCTTGGTGTACTTGTATAAAACTCTGCGCCCTGTCCCCAGCTGCAGGGTCTGTAGTAGTCGGCCATCTCGACTATAGTCTTGGATAAAAGAAGTGCTACTGTCTGGTGGGGAGTAGATGTTCCGGTAGTAGCCCACAGAAAGCATGGTTTGTAAACTGTGGCGCACCATACTAGGCATGGTGACTGAGAGCAGACAATCCGATTGGTCATACTCAAAGATATAACGCCGCTGGCTATGTAAGAGAAGCATCACAGACTGAAACGAGACAAAGGCACGACAGCATAATAGTACCATTGGAGTTCAGGAGATTAAAGAAAATACACATTCATCCATTCAACACAAATTTATGGAGCACTTACTGTGTGCCAGGCACTGTGGTGGACCCTAGTGGATACAGTAGTGGGCAATAATGTGTCTATCCTAAACTTACAGTTTAATGGAAGAGAAAGACAAATAACCAGACAATTATAATATAGTGTGAAATGTGTTATGACAGAGGAAGTACAGGGCGCTTATGGGAAGCGGAAGAAGAGCAGCTAACTCAGACTTAAGAGGTCAAGAAAGGCATCCTGGAGGCTGGGACATCTGAGTTGAGACCTAAAGGGTGACTAGGGGTTGGCCAGATAAAGGCAGGGTGGTGGGTGGAACAGGATGGGGAGAGTATTCCTGACACAGGGCATAGCATTGTGAGGGTCAGGATAAGAAAGAGAACATGGCTTTTTCAGGGAATGACAGGAATTTTGTGTGGCCAGAGTATGGGTGTGTTGGAAGGGGTGGGTGAATGGCAAGAGCTGAGGCCAGGCAGGTAGGCTGGATCTAGATCACACTGGGCTTTCTAAGCCACGCTAAGGAGTTTGGACTTTAACCTGCTGGCAACAAGGAAAACGCTGAAAGCAAATCGAAGGACAGGGCAATCCAGTAGGTATTCCAGAAAGGTTACTATTGCTTCAATGTGGAGGTGGATTGGAGGGAGGTAAATGGGGGGCAGGGCATGCCACATATTAAGTATTAGTCACCAAAAAATACTTATTGACTTTATAGAGTAGGTGTCTTTCTGAAAAGTTGTATATAAAATATTACTATTACGGTAGTCCCCTCCTTATCTGCAGTTTTGCTTTCTGAGTTACCCACAGTCAACTGCTGTCTGAAAATATTAAATGGAAAGTTCCAGAAATAAACAATTCGTAAGTTTTAAATTGCACACTGTTCTGAGTAGTGTGATGAAATCTCACGCTGTCCTTCCCAGGATGTGGATCATCCCTTTGTTCAGTGTATCCACGCTGTATATGCTACCCGCCCGATAGTACAGGAAATATCAGTATATATAGGGTTCCATACTATCCACAGTTTCAGGCATCCACTGGGGGCCTTGGAACGTATCCCCTGCAGGTAAGGGGGGACTACTGTATTGCTCTGCAATTCATGTTTTAAACTATATTAGGGAAACATGCCATTAAAAGTGAAGAATTCTCTGGTTATGCAAGCCCTCTCCCCCAAACTGATCTGTATTTCAGAAACAGTTATTTGTTGCGGTATAACGCCTTGCACGTTATGGGTGTTTCATTGATATTGGTTTATCTTATTTTAAGTATAGACATAAAAAGAACACTATTGTAGGGAGAACTCAAACCCTATTTCTAATTGAAAAGCATTTAAGTCTCATCTTTCAATAAAAATAAAAATTGTTCACCCCTGGAAATTCTGATATATCTTCCTAAGGGAGCTTTTACCCCTCGTTTCTTGAGAATTGGCTTATCAAGCAAAAAGATTTAGTTGAGCTTTATTTTCTGAAGTTTCTGTTATGAAAACAATAGGTATCTTTTCATTTTCTAAATATAAATTACATAGTTATGAATATGAATTACATAAGCATATATAATGTACTTTTAAAACTTCTAAGTATGAAATTATACTCTAATATTGAACATGCTTCTTGAAACTGCACGTCATCCCTGCTCTGAGAATTGATATGGAATCGCATGTCAATACTGTGAAGTCAAAGTCAGCACTTATTTGCTTGTTCGCTTATCCTTTCCTTCTTTTCCACCAAGTACTCTGCCCGGGGATACAGAGCTGTGTGGAAATCCTATCACCTCATCACCTGTGGACACCCTGCAGCTCCAGAAAATCTGCTGAACTGAAGGCTGGAGACTTGGAACTCCTGCGTGGGCACGAGGACACAAAGGGACCACTGAGTCCTTGACCAAGGCAGAACTCAACAGAACCGGGGAGGAAATTGGTGGGAAATGCCTTTGCATCACCTCTATGCTGAAAGCCAGATTTCTCAGCTACTTTCCACTCTCTTCTGTCAATTTGCCATGAACAAATGACATCTGTCACCTGCGATGTGGGTCAGGGACAATCACCATATGGCCCGCACACATTATCTAGTACCAGCCTGCCTGGGCCAGGCCTTTTCCAGTCGCTGTACCAGCCTTGCCAAACATTTATAGCACATCGCCATTGTGTTCTCTCCCTGCTCTCATCCTCTGCGCTGCAGTAAACTACTGCCTGACCCTGTTCCTGGGTGGTGCTGATGCTGCGCTGTCTCGAAAGCTCCCTGGTCTGTTTTAAAGCTTCCTGCCAATGGCAAAAATGTGGATGATGTGATTAGAAATCTCATGAATGTAACCGTTGCGTTGCCAGACTACCATTTAGTTCTCACTTGCCTGCTTTTTCACTTTGGGTGGGCATTATTATCAGCTTTTTCAAAAACAATACTTATGAGTCCATCCAATGCCCATAGTGCAGCTATACGGTAAAAGGCCATTTCTTATTCGTTGAAACAATGGAGTGGGAGACTTTGTATTTTTTAAAAATTGATTGTGAGCTCCGAAAAGACTGTGACATCATTGTAAAGAAGAAAACAAGAACAATCATGGCTGTATACTCATTTGAACACGAGTAGAAATGAGAAATGGCAGAAATTTGAAAAATTAAAGCATTTGAATGGCCACCAGATGGCAGTCTGGGGCCACCTGGAAGCACAAGCCAAAGGCTGCATTCTCTCCCTCGAGGCAGCCTTTGAAAATTTCAGCCCCAAAGAGGCAATTTTGTGTAAATGTATCAGACTAAAGTATCTTACTAAATGATTATAAAATATATTTAAATGTATTTAAAAATGAAGTTCTTAAGAACGATTTTAGGAAACGGAAAGATGTAAATGTAAATTTACTGTAATACAAAATTTTAGCCCCACAAGTCTTCAAAATATAATTAACTCAGGGAAGGCTCATAAATCAAGATAGAGAATTAATGGCCGCACAGAGAAAACTTAAGAAACAATAACTGATTTTTAAAAATAGAGGTGAGATCATTTAAGCCACCGCAGCTATTAGCCAAATAATTATTTTTCTCCTAATGGCTACAAACCATTGCGCATGAAAATGATACGAGTAGTTTTTACTTACTCTAGAGGAAGTCAAACAATTTTTACAAAATTTCTGCACATTAAGGTGAAATATCTGCTGTTTGATTTTTAATATATCATGGTATAGGGGTGGCAAGCAAATTTACAGAGGTACTACCAGAAGTATTTTGAGGTATAAAAAGAGACTTATATTTTAAAGTTTGAGAACTCTTACTTCAAAATATACTACTAGAGCCAGCCTCTTTGTCTTGCTCTGCCCCAGACATAGTGAAAGAATGTTCCAGCGAAGGCCATGTTCAAGAGAGGACTTAAAAAGAGCACGGGGAGGCACAGAACCTCATCACCTCACTGGAAAAGTTACATGTTAAGTGGATTTTGGTAAATTGAATATTCTTTACCTTTTCTTTCTAGAATCACAATTTCAAAGTTGCTTTAATTTCCTTCCTTTTTTCCTTCCTTCCGTTCTTTCCTGTTTTAATTTACCTTCAAGTAGCAGTAACTGCCAGCCTTTAAGTTCTTCGACTCATATAAATACTAGAATAAATACTAGAACGCATGATTTAAATGGAAAGGAATTAACTTCTATTGAATGACGATGTGCTGGGTGCTTTATATTGTTATTTCATTTAATCGCTGCTTCTATTCAGTGAATTAATTATTATCACTGGTAATAATAATGTTAATAAAATCAATCTCGTGATAGATGATTTTTGGAAAGTAAAGAACCATTCCATAATTATGTGTTTTGTAGGTTCTGAGTTTTGCATAATAGCATTGCTTAAGTCACGGGCTATCTTGTAATTAGAGAACAAATTAAATGTGAAATCAAGAAAGGGAGAAAAGTCAACTAAAAGGCACAAGCGATTTGGCTGTCTCACTGGTCAGTTAACTAGTCTTTGGAAGTCACTGGGGCTTTTCTCCATACATTGTTTTGTGACAATAAGGTCTTATTTCTGTCTACTGCAGGCACTGACAGTCTCAGGGAGCTCTCTTTGTTGTGTTTTTTTTTTTAAAGAATTATTGCCAAGTAAGTTTCTGTAGCAAAACGGACGTATGCGAAGTTTGCTTCACATCATTCTTTGATGAAATAACTGTGCTGAAATAATCAGTCAATCCAGAAAAGGGGAACAATAAAATTGCTTCATTGGTGTCAGAGAAGAGGCTAAATAACTATATGCAGGGCTGAAATTTAAGTTTCAACAGGCTCTTTTGTCATCGTATGGACAGCCTAAAGGGAAAGTTCTACGAGACATAGAAGCAACTGTCTACAGGCAGTTAGCTCAGTGGCTAGACTGTGGCGCTAATGAGGCCGGGGCTCTGAGTTCAAAACCGTACATACTTTTTTTTTTTTTTGGCTGTGCCCGGCGGCTTGCGGGACCTTAGTTCCCCCGACCGGGGATTGAACTGGGCCCTGGCAGTGAAAGTGCTGAGTCCTAACCACTGGACCACCAGGGAATTTCCTCAAAACTGTACATACTCATAATGCGTGCCAGCTCCTTCACTAGTCACACGTAGACCTGTGGGAGGATCAGTGCAAACCTATCCTCATTCCTGGAAAAACTAATCAGCCTACATTCTGCTAGAATCAGTGGCATCTTTTTTTCATATGATGGTCATCATTACATGCCTTGCCTCTGTGAACGTACACCAAATCTTTGGATTCAGTTAATTTTTTTTTTTTTTTTTTTTTTTTGCGGTACATGGGCCTCTCACTGTTGTGGCCTCTCTTTGTGGACAGTAGTCATACGATTTTGCCAATCATCCTTGTTACTAAAATTCAAAAGATAAAAGATCTACTCTGTAAAATTCAGATGTTCCCAATGTAGAGTACAGATTAGAGATTTCATCGATTTCTTCAGCAGAAAAGGACAGGAGGTGGATACAGCAGAGAACTCCCTCCTTTACCCTGGCTCCCAAGTGGAGCTCTGCTTTATCTCCTAGGCATTCCCAACTTGGCAAATTCCCCAGCGAATGGCTCTGGGAAATAATACAATAGTTTTATAATAACATACAACCGCGGGCACACTTTTTTTTAAAAAAACTTTCAGGGGTATATCAGAAAGGCTTAGCATCATTTGTTGCAAATAGTGAAATTTTGCGATGTGAGCTATGAATGCCCATGACTTTTCTAAGAACTTCTAGGGGTGACTTTGCACTGACTACCCTTGAATCCTCAAGGGAAGGCATCTTCCAATTTTCCCAGAAGTTAATTCAGGACTGATAAGTTAAATGGATAGATTTGGGAAAAAAGAGACAGTATCTTAGCACATCAGAGATTGAGATGGTAGATAGAGATCAATTTCTCTTATTGTCTTCTGATACTGATCTGGCTAGAAATCATTTTGCTGTGGGGGGCTGATGTTTGACAAATGGATCCAGTGATGGGATTAAAATCCTTGCCCATTCCAAGCAGACAGAGGCCACGAGCTCCTATTACAGATGCTACTGGAGAGTCATTACATACAAAGGACTATTACCAACGAGGCCCCACTGCTACCATTTCCTCAGACCGATTACTTGGGAAAATTAGTCTTCAAATGTATACCGCTAAACTTTTACTGACTATTCTAACAAAAGTAGAAGTCCTTATCCTCTGCGTAAGAGGCTCTTTTCCAGAGCTGCGATACATTAACACGCAATTTTATAATTTTCTACCTATTTTACTTCAGTGTGAGCTTTCTTAATAATAAAGATACATTTTCAGGAGCATGAACAAATATGCTCAAATGAGGAGAAATCGAAGCCATTATCCTGACTTCAGTTTGAAAGAGTACCTGGCAGAGCGTGGGGTTGGGGAAAGTTTTCAGCTGAAAAACAGCTTATCCTTACAGGTATAATTTGTTGTTGTTACTTCTATAGAGCAGAACAGCCAGAACACAGACTTTTCTCCTGCAGGTCCTCAGCAAGGTGGGTAGTCAGTGCCGCTTTCAATATTCTCATTCGGGAACTCAGAACTAGTTTATTTCCCCTACATGCTTACCTTTTCTAAGTAGGTATAGCTCCAAATTTTCCCATCAGCCCAAGTTCTTGAAATGATTTTTCCACTCTGGTCATATTCCATTTTTTCATTCCACGTCCCTCGTTGAATAAACGTCACCAATCCTGAAGGTGAATATGTGATATTCACTTCATTATATCTGCTTATGGGAGACCACAGAACAGGTCGTCCAGTCTGGTCATAAAGAATTCGAAGGGTGAATTTCCGATGGTCGTCATAGATCTTTCCTGTGCGAGTCATATGATCAAAATCTATGGAGAGCAGGTTTCTGTTATGGGCCTACAAAAAAGAGATAGGAAATACATTTGAAGCACTGCCTTAGCTCCCCTCATCAAGTGCATTCACAATCGAAAAGCTTTTTCTGTTTCTCCAGCAATGGGGTGTCTCTTGCCTTTGAATCCGCCTGGCTTCTCCTCGGATGACACTTGTCTTTATTCTCCCAGCAGACTGTACAATCTTGGAAGGTTGGGGCTATGTCTTAACTACTGGTATGTGCTAGCTCCTCAACATACGGTTATTGATTGCTTTTGCCCAACTCAAGCCTCAAGTGTGCTGATACAATTTTCAGTGATTATGTAATCTTATTTTATGTGAGTCAGATGCCTACCAAGGAACAGGATTTCCTCCCCCTCTTTTACGAATGAAGTGGCTAAAACATAGAATGGTGAGTTATTTACATAATTAGAAATTAGAAAAAATGAATATAGAGAGCCCCCTCTAATTTATACAGAGAATCCCTTCTTTGGCTTCCTGTTCCTCTGGGCATGGAGCTTTATTACTTCACATCTATCACAGGGGAACACAGAGCAACTCAGATTGTCTCCTGAGATGGAAGCCCACTCAGCAATGTTTTACCAGAAGGTAAATGTGGCAGGTGTTGGTAGGCCCCCCAGTATTTGTGAGGGTGGCACCACTCAGTGAGGTTAGAGCATGGAGTTCAATCTGGGTACCAAGTTTAGAAACAATTAGTAGCTCGGTTTGGTTCTGGTCTTAGGCTTCCTTGACTGCATGCCAGCATCCCCTCTGTGTACTTCACGGCCCCAAAGTTGTCCAGAGAAATCCTGCCTCTGAGGAAATTCAGCCTGGTCTACACAAGATAACCAAAGAACTAAATGGCTTAGTTAAAAAGTTTTTAAATTGGACAAAAGGCCACTTTTACTGGGTTTTCAAAGCAACTGGACAACTGACATGATCTGTTCTACTCTTCAGCTAGTAATGCCAATGTTTGGCACTCCCACCAGTAACTGCTATGGCAAGCTGATGACAACACAGAGCTGAAGAAGGCTCTGGAAGACAAGGGTTTTGAAGTAGGTGGGTGGGAGGCCAAGGGGAGGGCTTTAAAAATTTGTTTTATTTATTTTAGTTTAGCTCAGTTAAGTTTTCATTTCAGTGAGTCGTTTGTTTTGTTTTATTATAACTTTTTATGTGGAACTAGTCTGACTCACAAGAAGTTGCAAAAGTGGGGAATTCCCTGGCGGTCCAGTGGTTAGGACTCCAAGCTCTCATTGCCCAGGGCCCAGGTTTGATCCCTGGTCGGGGAACTAAAATCCCACAAGCCTCACAGTGTGGCCAATAAAATAAAATATGTAAATTGTTGGAGCTATTAAAAAAAAAAGAAGTTGCAAAAATGATACAGTAGCCGTGTACTCTTCACCCAACTTTCAAGGAAAAGACTTTTCTTTTGGGTGAAGGGGGTCCAAGCATATCTGGAAGGAACCTTCTAGGTTCTTGGCTGAGACCCCCCCCCACACTGCCACCCTCACCCTGTAATAAAAACAGGAGAAAAACAAACAAGTTTAATAACATGTATACCTCCTGTACCCATGGGAGAGACCCAGGGGAACTGAGTAACTCTCCAAAATGGCCCAAGCCACCACCTTATATACTATCTCCAACCAAAGACAAAAGATGTTGGGAGGAGGGAGCCAGTTATGGGAGGTGACCAGGCAAAGCACAGTAAACAAGGGTAAGGTTGTTATGCAGATTTAAGTCATTGCTTTCTCCATCAGCCTAAAATAATCTTTATACCAAAGAGGCATATTTTGGGGTGGCAAATTCTTCTCCCCTTCAAATAAAAAAGGAGAAACTTTGAGAAGTATAAACAACAGTGGCTCTCGGGAGTCAGGAGACTGAATTAGCTGCTTGTCTGTGCACCAGCCATCTCTTGTATTCGGGCCTTAGTTTTCTTATCTGTGAAAAGGGAGTGATATTTACCACTCTACACCACACACCTGTGTTAAGAATTAAATGAGATTACATATACGGGTACCTGGTGATGTGTAAAAATAATATTAGTAATTGTTGTTTTTAGATATCATTACTTTTTGCATTTTAGTTAGGCTTCTGAATGGGCCCATGTGTCAGATTCCAAGGACTGTAGCTTGGTGTATTACATTTATATCTGTAGGAATTGTCAACACGATCCTGAACAGAATATTCAATATCTGTTTAATGAGGTAGGGAAAAAAACCAACATTAGGATTTGACTACAATAATCATAGTTGGACTAAATGGATTCACTAGCTATTCAACTAAACTTCATGTTCACTTATAATTTTTGTGGTCAAGGATTTCTTTAAATATCTGAAAGCTATATACTGTGTCCCCAGAAAAATGCACATAAGTACATAAACAAACATTTTAAACAAAATCTCAAGTGGGATCTGAAACTCAAACATGAAACCTTTAGGGGTCTTGAGTCCAATTTCAAAATCCTGGCTCAGAAAGAGGTTTTCAAAAATTTTTTGTTAAAATTTTTTTTTGCTATTTAAAAACTTGAGATATAACTGACATATACCATTATATTAGTTTCAGGTTCAATATTTGTATATATTGTGAAATAATTACCACAAAAATCTAGTTAACATCCATCACCATATGTAGTTACAACTTTTTTTTCTTGTGATGAAAACTTTTAAGATCTATTCTCTTAGCAACTGTCAAATATACAAAACAGTATTATTAGCTATAGTCACCATGCTGTACATTACATCCCCAGGACTTACTGATCTTTTAACTGGAGCTTTGCACCTTTTCACCCCCTTCATCCATCTTGCCCACCCTTCACTACCTGCCTCTGGCAGCCACCAATCTGTTCTCTGTATCTATGACCTCTTTTTTTTTTTTTTTTTTTTGATTCCACATCTAAATGAGATCCAGAGTTTTTATCTTAGTGCCCTGCATGACTGCAAAGCCAGCATTCTCATTTCAGACTCTGGTTTTCCTTTGCTCAGTAATTTTGTGCACTTTGCTTTTTAAAATAACCTCCTTAACTTCTACCCCCATTATAAAAGTGATATTTTTTCATTGCAGAAAAATTGGAAAATCTAGAAACATACAAAGAAAATAATCACCTGTAATCCCATCCTTCAATGTGAATCATTGCTAGTACTTTGCAGCATTTCATGCCCACTTTTGTTTTGCATAATCTATGCCCATACACGTAAAGAATACAATTAGAATTATAAAGTTTTGTGTCCTACTTTTTCAGCTAATGTTTTGTCTTTGAGCATTCCTCATGTTATTAAATATTCTTAAAATGTGGATTTTAGTGGTTACATAATATCTTCTACATGATAAGCATTTATTTTTCCTTTCTCCTATTGTTGGAAATTAGAGTTTTTGTTTTCCATTTTTCTTTTATCTTTCATGTTCTGTTGAACATTTTTGTAAATAAATATTTCCTTAATACAAAACCCTATAAGGGAAATTATGGGGTCAAATGATAACATATTAAAGACTCCCGATGCAACTCGAGATATTACTTCATGGTGCACAAAGGTTTACAAATTTATGCTCTTATTAACTAGCAGTGGAAGAGTTCAACTCATTCCATCCTTACCACCATTGAGTATTGTCATTGTTAGTATGCTTTTCCCAATATGAGAGTGGGAAAATAGTATGTTACTGTGGTTTAAATTTGCATTTATTTGGTTACTAATGAGGTTGAACCCTTTTAAACGTCTATTCGCTACATGTACGTCTTCTATGAATTGTCTGCTATTTTCAACGTCTTTTGGCTTCAGTTTCTTCATCAGCCAGCTGGGGCTAATGATACTTGCCATTAATTTTGAGCTTCTGCAAGGAAAAAAAAAAAAAAAAAAAAAGGACAGCAAATGTTCCACGCCATGAATTCCAGAAGACTAGTGATTAGATACTCCAATTATTTGGGAGGAAGTCTTGTCAGTTGCAGGGGTAGGTTTCATTCAGGGAATAGAGCCACAGATTGGGAAACATGACTCTTTAACCATCTGTAGCCAATGTGTGCAGTGCCGTGGTGCATAAATACACAGTAAACTGCTGTTATCACCTAAAAGGTGATAGAGAAGCGCGTATTTCCTGTCTTTTGATACACAGGGCTTGGAAGCCTATACGAAACCAGGTGTTCTTTCTTCTACTACCTTTCCTGTGGTTTTATAGCCACATATCTCTAACTGTAATACTGTTCATTTACAATAGCTGTAAAATATCCATGTACTCCCAGAGACGGTTGTAACTGTTACAATTTATGTTATAATGATAGTTAAAGAGCCAAAGTAACAAGTGATTTTCAGTTCAACTAAATTTGTGGTTTTATTTGCCTGATAGATTAAGTTTACTACTCAAGAACACATTTCTTAATAAAGTCATTACAGCTACACAAGCAGGGACCACTGTTAAAAATCCACTACAGGCACTTCCCTGGTGGCGCAGTGGTTAAGAATCTGCCTGCCAATGCAGGGGACACGGGTTCGAGCCCTGGTCCGGGAAGATCCCACATGCCACGGAGCAACTAAGCCCGTGCGCCACAACTACTGAGCCTGTGCTCTAGAGCCCGCGAGCCACAACTACTGAGGCTGCGAGCCACAACTACTGAAGCCCGCGTGCCTACAGCCCGTGCCCCGCAACAAGAGAAGCCACCGCAATGAGAAGCTCATGCACCACAACGAAGAGTAGCCCCCACTCGCTGCAACTAGAGAAAGCCTGCGCACAGCAACGAAGACCCAACGCAGCCAAAAATAAATAAGTAAATAAAATTAAAAAAAAATCCACTACAAAGTGAGCAGAAGAAAACTCTGCCTAATGTTCTTTCCCTGCCTGTCAAGACTTCTGCAACCATGCTTCTGTTTCTGGATAATGCACTCGGATATTCAGATGTTGCTGAAACGCTAGTTTTAAAGTCAGGTTTGGAAGATAATGTAAAATTCGGCTAAGAGCTGAAAGGGGATGAAGGAATTGAAGATGCCACAGCCCCCACCCTGCGAGTCTCCTATGGAACCCACATGTGAGAAGGCTGGGAG